GTCTACGGCGCCCCTGCCCCGGGCTTCCTGGAATCAGCCGCTGATCAGTTTCAGCAGCGGCTGACTTGGGGACACCTGGGGAAGAGCAGCTGGGGTGCTGCCCGGTTGGTCCAGTAGCGCCGAGGAGCGGCACTGCAGGACCAACCCAGCAGCCCCAGCTGCTCTACCGCAGGCGAGAAAAGCCTGGTCTGCTGGGGGGCGCACTAGCTGCGCCCCCCAGCAGACCAGGGAAACCCGGTCGGCGGGACCATGGAGATGCGCCACGGTCCCACCCACATCCTCCCCAGCTTTGCTCCATGTCTCCCTGGTCTGCAGACAAGGGAGACGCGGAGCAGCTTTTCTCGCCCCGGAGTACATGGGCGGCAGGACCGCGAGGTCCCGCAGTCTGTGTCCTCCGGGGCGAGAAAAGCTCCGGCACATAAGATGACCCCCGATTTTTGGGGGATGTTTTTTAGCATAAAAAGTCGTCTTATACGCCGGAAAATACGGTATGTTCAGTGATGCATTTGAAAAGTAGTAAAGTTCTATATTTTCTGCATTACTACATAAAGTTCTACCTGTGAATATATTTTATTACTACTTTTCTTCAAACATAGTATGGGAGCAGAGGTCCCCTCAGATCCCCTCCAGGTTCCACTTCAGCTCTTGATGCTGTCTTTTTGTCTTCCCTACAAGTGGGTTTTTGGAGCAAATAAACAAGAGTCCTCTCCCCTCTCTTCTTTGATGAGTGGGGGGGAGTCCATGGGAAAATAAGGAGAGATAAGGGTGGCCTGTAACTCTTGCAATCTTCTTATATCTTTCCTTTGGTCTTGGTCTAAACAAGGTTTACCTCCAGTATCTCCTTGTGAGGTGTGTTGCTCTGAGGCTAGGTCTTGTAGCTTCGAGAGCAGAGAGATTGTTGCTATCTTCCTCTCAGTAAACCTGTCCATGGTAGGATAGCCTCTTCCTGTTCACCATCCATTCCTGTGGCAGGTTTTCCCTTTTAAGCCCCTATAGCCCCCACAGATCAAGCCTTGCAGCAGCTGCTCATTGGAATTGAACAAACACGTGATCATTAAAAAAAAAAAAAAAATCACTCACCTAAGAAATTCAGAGTCCCAAGAAACCCAAATGTTTAAATCCTACAGTATCCAAACTCTGTATGAGACAATAGAAATTTTGTAATGGTACTTATGAAAATCATACATTCTATAATTCTTCATCATTTTCTAGAGCTTTATTATTTCCTTTTCTTTCTCCGTTGGTAGGATCAAGTACCACTACCTCAGGGAAGCGTGTGCTTCATAGGTTGGGTTCATTTGATATTTTTGATAGCTACATCCATGTAAGTTGTAAAAACTTTATTGCCACCAGCCTTCCCCATTCTGATGGCTGAAGACAAAACTGTCTCATGTTCAAACTGCTCTCTGCGAGGAACAATACATTAGAAGTTCAGCAGCATTAGTATATATCTGCCTTCTGATTGAGATAAGACTGTTGCTGGAAAGAGGATGAGGCCTTATGCTTCAGACTGTGCGCCATGGAAATGGTGATGCCAGAGCGATGTTGTTGCAATGAAACAAGCATTTTTGTTTCCTAAATGTGTTTTGGTTTTGCTTACCTGTAGGATAGTTTTGGTTCCATTCTGTCCTGTCATCCTTCAGATTGTTGCTAGTTTGAATTTTTAAATTCCCTATTAATGTTAAAGGGAATAAACTCAGACTTTATCTGCAAGTGAGTAATACTTTCTCTCACTAATTTTTTTTCTTGGATGATTAGTGTATTTAGCTGCATAATCTTCCCAAATAAATTAGGTACAAGACACAAAGGCAACCTTTACAGGAAGCCCTCCACATTTTCAGGGGCTACGTTCCAGAGACAGCCACTAATGTTGAGATCCGCACATACGGGAAGGCCGGGGGTGTTTGTGCACAAAACCAATAAATTGTCCAAAATGAGCATTTTATTGCCTGCTGTTTCACAGTCAACAAACAACTTCAACATCAAAACTAGTCACCCAAAACAATTATTTGAATTTGCTCCCTGCAAATCTTTCTGTTCCTCTGGGATGGGGTAGGAAGGTTAACAAAGGTGGGTTTGCAAATGAACATAGTAATGTGAAGATGTTTAGTCTTGTTTTTTAACACCTTTAAAATTTCTGGTACGGCATCACTACAGCTTCAATTTCCCTTTTAACTTTCTGGCTCCATTCCACCAAGAGATCATAGTGAAACATTTTGTCAGTGAG